AAAAAAAAAATGAAAAGGAAGTTTTTCCTTTATTGTAATAAAGACTGCACATGCTTGCTAAAAGCCACATGTTTGCTTCTGGATGGAGTCCAGGCAGCCAGTAAGGTGACACTGGTTTATTTTATTGCTAAGCTATACCTGTATTTTAATGTATAAAAATAGGAAAATAAATTATTATTTAGTAAATAGAGTTAGATTTCAATAACTGACCAGAGGCTGTTTTGGAAATGAGGAAATGATGTGAATAATGGTGAAATGTAGGAAGTTACTAGTTGAGTGAGTTATATTGTCCCATACACCCCACCCTGTGACTTTTTACTATTTAACAAAACTGTTGCTGCTCATGGTGGTATATGCATGTAATTCCAGCAGTTTGGGAAGCTGAGGCAAGAGGATTGTGAGTTTAAAGCCAGCCTCAGCAACTTAGCGAGGACCTGAGTAACTCAGGGAGTCCTTAGTTCTAAATAAAATATAAAATAGGGCTGGGGATGTGGCTCAGTGGTTGAACACCCCGGGATTCACTCCCCAGTACATCTCTGCTATAGACATCTTTGATTAGAGACATTAGGGTGTGTTAATAGAAGAATGGTATTCAAAGTTCAAGAATAAAGAAGTACCAGGAAGCACCCAGAGAATTCTGTTAATTTCTGGTTGTTAGATTTTGGTACTGGGGTCTGAACCCTACCACTAAGCTACATCCCCAGGTCTTTCAAACTTCTTTATTTTTTGGTAGGGTCTTGCTGAGTTTCCCAGGCTGGTCTCAAACCTGAGATTACAGACACATGCCACCATGTCCTTCCTGGTTGTCAGGTTTCAAAAGAGATATAGACAAGCTGGAGCTTGTGTGGGGGACAGTCTTAAAAGCTAGGACACATGAATAACGTGGGAAGGATGTAAGAACATTTAGCCTGGAGAACATATTAGCCAAGTATCTGTTAACATCTTCAGGTAGTGAAAGGTCATGTGAACAAGATTTGGATTGATTGAGATGTGGCTGCCAGATAAGGTTGAGGGGAGCTGAGCACCAGGTAAGGGTGTAGTGCTTCATTTTATGTAGATACCAGGTGCAGTGGTTCCAGCTACTTGAGAGGCTGAGTGAGACCTTGGCTCAAAAAATGAAAAGGGGCTGGGTATGTAGCTCAGTGATTGAGTACTTGCCTACCATGTGTGAGGCCTTGATTTTAGTTCCCACAATGGAGGGGGTGCAAATTTCTCTATATAGAACTTCCTGATAAAGGTGTTAGTGGGGTACTCAGGCTTAGGCCAGGAATGTCATCAAAGGAATTCAAACAGCAGATTGATACTTGGAAATGTTTAGGATACTCCAAACTCCCTGATTTTGTGACATTCCATAATACTTTATAATAACTAATTTTTCTCTGCCTAGCTTTAATAACCACTTGATTAAGGTCTGTCTTGTATTTTCTTTTTTGTGGTGCTGAGGATAGAACCCTTAGTGTCCTGTGTGTGATGGCACTCCCTCTACCACTGTGGTACATTCCTGCAGCAAGGACCTTTCATTATTTTATATATTCATAAATAATAGCAATACCATTTGTAATATTTGCCAATAATTTCTTTCTTT